TAAACAAAAATTAGAAATGTTGCATTGGCAACTAACTGAAATTAAAATAAGTTGAAGTGCTGAAATTACTAAAAAAATACAAATAATAATAAATTAAAGCTAAATACAAATATAAAAAACAAATAAATAACCTAATAAAAACGACGAGCACAACAAAATTACTGAAACTTTAACGGAAGTTTAACGAACTTTAACCGAAAAAAAAAAACTGAAAATATAAAATAATTCAGACTTCAGTTAATTCAAAATATTACTAAATAATATAATAAATATTACTAAATAATATAATAATATACTAAATAATAATACTAAATAATAATATAGTAAATAATACTAAAATAACACTAGAACAGATGATTGAAATTCTAATTTTCACTTTCATTTTTATGCTGACAGTATAATTTGTAATGGAAACATGTATTAAATTGGAAAAATGGAAAGTCGTGTGACTTTTTGACTGTAGTTTATGAGGTGTTTAGCTTTCTTTAAAAATGAAATTAAGCACAGACATAACAAATGCTCACATTGCTCAGGAACAATTTACATATTGACAGAGAAAAGATCTAAACCTGATGAATCTCCATCTAAAAACAGAGGGACACAACCTTAAAAGCTACAACTAGGTGGCAGTGTTGCATTAAACTGGAAATTGCAGCAGAAAAAAACGTTACTACAATATTCCTCTGCCCTCCAACTGATACTAAAGCATGGAATATGTTGATTCATCACACTGGGTTTCAAGAGTTCTGTTGAAAATAACTCTTGGTGATGCTTGTGTCCCAGAAGCCAAGCTTCATCGTGGATAAGAAGCATGTGCGTGTCAGAGGCAGCACAAAGCATGTGTGATTTTTGAGCACCTTGTTTATTTCTAAATATTGCTTTGCTGGTGGAGTCTAGAATAGCTTTAGAAGCTTTGAAATGCTTTTTTACATGGTTTGCATGCTGATTTGCAAGCAAGTAGGTCCTTGTGATCTCCCTATCATCCCTAGAAATGTTATAGACATTTTTGAAGCCAAATTGAGAGTTGAAAAAGGTTACCGTTACCTTGCACGTGCAAAGTTCGGCACCAAAACAAGGCATTTCCACAACCTTTACATTCTGTGTTCACCTGAGCTCTTCACAAAGACGTAAATCAAGGCCTCCTCTGTTCGGGAAGGAAAGAGATTGGATTTCAAAAGCGGCGAATCCCTGTAAATCTGAACAACGACAGCAACACCGGCAGCAAGCAAACGGCTGTGAGTTTCTCACGAAGGTGCCTCAATTAAGGGAGCGGTATGAAAAATGCATGGCACCCTTACTAGCCTGTGTGTTAGCTATCTCTTCCCTTCCAAGTGTCCTTTTCCCCTGTCTCTGACAAGTTGCAGCGGTAGGCAACCAGGGCCCAGAGCAGCCCCCAGGCAATTTATCTCTCAGCCAGTCTAACACGAAGGGGCAAAGAGCTACAGAGCTCGGCAAAATGATAATGCCTCCTCAGATGAATATTGCATGTTGATCAGTAATAACTCCCCGACTGCATGGAAAAGGAAACAGACTCGTGGGGTGATTGAGCTTGTAGGGACTCTTGCATGATCATGTGAAGGAAATGCCTGCATGATTTACCCCATCGTGATTGTCCCGTCAAATAGTTTCTTACCACATCAGTATTATGACATA